TTTTTCAGTGGCAAGAATTGAACTTATGGTATGTATTAATAGCCTAAAATTATGAATTATAGAGATTTATAAATTTACAGTTTTAGGTTCATTCACTAAATTGCCTTAGCCAGCCCAAGCAAAAAAGCCAACATTACATAAATATGCTTTTCCGTTTCAAGGGCTAGAACTCATTTCAAAATTAGAACTCATAGTTTATGTCATGATATTCAAAAAGGCAAATTTAGGGGAAATACCTGACTTTGTGGTAGAAAAGATGTGGGGTCATCATTCTTACGATTATATTGATTACTGTCACTCAGAGATGAGAGATTTAATGATATGTATATTGAATAAGTCTGGAAAGAAATTCCAAACACAGCCATTTTGTGAATTCCCTTAACAATTGATAAACTTTAGTTAAGAAAATTTTAGCTGTAACTACTAGATTGACTTAACACTGTGTACATACCTTGTACCGAAGGTAGCTTTAACAAATTGGGTAAGAAAATGATTTGCTAGTGTAAGGTTGCTTAGAAGTACTGATATGGAATAAGCCCACCTTAAAAAATAGTCATAATTCTTCCCAGATGCCTGCTTCTTTGATCTGATTAGTGACTATCATTCATGTGTATTAATGTTTTTCCTGTTAGATTGTAAGGTCCTTGAGACTAGAGCATTTCTTTACTTGTAGCCCTCTATGATTGGGAGCAGAGTAGGTGTGTTTAATACAAATGTGTTAACTGAAGGAATGCCCTTGCTAGCCAGTCAAGGTTATGGAGTCAGGTTACATACCTTTGTGTGATAGGACCAAGTGGACAGGTAGCCAAGGGTGGTGATAAGACTTAATTTTCTGGCCTGTATTGGCTCCTTTAGAACAAAGTCATCGTCATCGTCCTCCTCCTCCTCCTTCTAAGATTTATTTATTTATTTGAGAGAGAGAGCACGAGAATGAGCATGGGTTGGGGAGGGGCAGAAGGAGTGGGAGAGAGAATCCTCAAGCAGACTCCCTGCTGAGCACGGAGCCTGCCGTGGGGCTCGATCCCAGGGCCCTGAGATCATGACCTGAGTTGAAATCAAGAGTCAGTCGCTCAACTGACTGAGACATCCAGGCACCCCAGCATCAGTCCTTCTTGTAATTTCACCTTTTCTTGGAAAAGATGCCTCCTCCAACCTTGCCCCTCTGGCTATTCATGGCCTTCTCCTGAAACATACTTGCCCTTCACAGGCTTCACTTTATTCTTCTAGTACTTAAAATTCAGATTATACTACTGCAACTATTATGACTGCTTATTACTACCACTAGCTGCAGTTTATCAGCTGCCATTATGTATTAAGTCCTTTACATGTGCAGATTCTTTAAGTCTCACAATCTTATGAGATAAGCATTTTACATGTGGGAACAAGTAACAAGTCCAGTGGTGCACACCAGACAGGGTAGAGCCAGGATGTTCACCCAAGGCTTTCTGACTCCAGACTTCTGCTCTTAGCCTCTTCTTGGTCATAGCTTGTTTCCCCCACCAAACCAGGTACTTGCACTTCTTTCACTGTAGCTGTGTGCCTACAGTTCAAACCCTTCTAAAGTGCCTTTGTGTGCACAAAGTGGTAACTTCCACAGTAACAGCACCAGAATCACTCTGAGAGGTCCTAGAGAACTTGCATGTTGAGAAGCATGAAGGACACCTGAAATGAGGAATATGGAAGAAAGGCCAGAGCAATGCTAGAGAGAAAGCAAAAGGAGGCCATTCACCATTCCCTCAGTCTCTGACCAGTTCTCAGATTTCCAAGTCAAATAGTGTGTTTACGAACAAAACCAGTTTTCCTGCCTGAAACTAAATGAGGAAGTAGGGCTTTTGAGGTATCATGTCCTTCTCACTTAGAAGCTAAAAACAAAAAGGAAAAGAACAAGGAGTGTAAAGAAGAGATGTGGCTTTGCAGTTCCTTTCCTTGAGGAGCTCCCATCCTTTATTTTAAGAGTTCAATGGTCCATATAGCCTGAGTTCATTCTTAGCTAACTCTGTGGCATTGGGCAACTTCTAGAACTTTCTGAGCTTAAATTATATCATTTGTAAATTGGAGATTTACAGAATCCAAGCTGCACAACAGAATCTCCTGAATACCCCCACCCCCTTCTTTTCTTCCTTCTACATGTGTCTAGTTTTCAGCTTAACTTGGCTAACTCACAGCCCCTGTCTAGGCTTGTGTAGAGATAGGTAGATGAGATCGGTGGGGAGGTCATGCAGGAGACCTTGCTAAGGATACAGGCATTGCTTTGTAGCCCGTAGGGATGCAGTGAAAGTTTTCAAGCAGTTTGTTAGTGTTCTCTGACAACAGTGAATGAACATAGGCAAAAGGTATGCCATCAAACAGGTAATTAAACCTGTCTTTTTTCCCTGAATAATCTAAATGTATTTGTAAATAAATTGTATTCTGAAAAGAATGAAAGCTGAAGTCAATTAAGAGACTAGCCTTTCTTTTCAAGGATGGATTTATATTTCTCATTTGTCTGCAAATGAAGATTCATTCGTTCAGGAATATGAATTGTGTGCCAGACACAAATTATATTACTTCCTCAGAGAAAATAATTTAATTTTACTGAGGTGCTGCCTCTGTGTAGAATAATCGAAGTAGGTTATTTTGAATCAGGCAAAAAAGGCTAGCTACCTTAGGACCTTTTAACTGATAGAAAAGAAGTATGTGTTAATTATCTCTGTCTCTCATTTATACATTCCTCATATACTGGCATTTAAAAAGAACTGTAATTCTTCTCAAAATCAAAATTATATTAACATTTTAAAAGAGAAATATTTGAGGGGTGCCTGCGTTGCTCAGTTGGTTGGGCGTCTGCCTTCTGCTCAGGTCAGGATCTTGGGGTCCTGGGGTCAGGCCCTGCATTGGGCTCCCTGTTTGGTGGGGAGTCTGTTTCTCCCTCTCCCTCTGCTCCTCCACACTCCCGACTGTGCTCTCTCTCTCTTCTCTCGGTTAAGTAAAATCTTAAAAAAAAAAAAAAAGAGAGTGAAACATTTGGTTTCATTATCAAGTGCAGAAGAATGTGCCGCAGACTGCTTAATATCACTTTTGCAGTTTTTTGGTCTGGTCTCCCAATTCCTGCTGTGTGTGAATATTTGGAACAGGTTGCATTTCTTTTCCAGAAATCTTATTATGGACAACAAACAAGTCTCATTTAGACTGTGGTTTTAGTATTTGCCATTACATTCCTTTTCTCATTGCTAAAATATTAGTTGGGATTCCCATTATGGAACATATTTTTACAGTAAGGTAGAGGCATCTGAAGCTAGTTTGGCTTTTACTAGCAGGTGATAGAAAAGAGTGTCTGCTGTAGATTTTCAGTTAATTGCCTTTCATAAGAACGAGAGATCAAAAGGGTAAACCTACTCAGATTTATGAAATTTTTACTGAATTGATGGATACCTACAGGTTTGAGACAGGATGGTTTAGTGGAAAGAAAAGCCATTTTTGGATTTGTAATCATGTCTCCAAGAGCCTTACAAATTACCAGACCTTAACCTTAACAGTTTCCTTAAGTAAAATTCTTAACCAAGACACAATTTTCTCATCTACAAAATGGATGTTTTAATTGCTATCTGTTGGAGTTACAGAGGAGAATGTGACTTCTGACAAATAAGTGTCAGACTTAATATTGATTCTTAATAAATGTTACTTTTCCCCCAAGCTTTCCAGCCTATATAGAGGAGCATAAATGAGCAAATATATCACATGTGCATATTTAGTGAAGCCAAAAAGTTCTTGTAGGTTTTATTTATTTTTATTATAACTTTATTTTATTTTATTTTTTTAAGAGTTTATTTATTTATTTGACAGAGAGAGACACAGCAAGAGAGGGAACAGCAGGGGGAGTGGGAGAGGGAGAAGCAGGCTTCCCACGGAGTAGGGAGCCCAATGCGGGGCTCAATCCCAGGACCTTGGGATCATGACCCTGAGCCGAAGGCAGACGCTTAGCGACTGAGCCACCCAGGCGCCCCACGACTTTATTTTTTAAGAGCAGTTTTAGGTTCACAGTGAAATTGAAGGAAAAGTACAGAGATTTCCCTTATATACCTGCTCCTACACATGCATAGCACCCCCATTATCAACACCACCAACAGAGTGGTACATTTGTTACAACTGATGAATCTACATTGACACATTATAATCATCAAAGTCCATAGTTCACATTACAGTTTACTCTAGGTGTTGTACTTCTATGGGTTTGGGACAAATGCATAATGACATGTACCCATCATTATGGTATCATACTGAGTATTTTCACGGCCCTAAAAATCCTCTGTGCTCTGCCTATTTATCCCTCCCTCTCCATTGTCTTTGCTCCCCAGTATCTGAAAATCACTAATCTTTTTTACCGTCTCCATAGTTTTGTCTTTTCTGGTATATCACAGACTTGAAATCATGTAGTCTTAAACCTTTTCAAATTAGTTTCTTTCACTTAATAGGCACTTAAGTTTTCTCCATGTCTTTTCCTGGCTTAAGAGTTCTTTTCCTTTTTTAGCAGTGAGTAATATTCCATTGTCTGGATGTATCACAGTTTATCTATCTACCTACTGAAGGACAACTTGATTCTTTTTTTCCTAGTCATTTAGGAGGGATTTAAATAGCACAAATATAACAGTGATTAATACAGTCAATTGCATTTTATTTCATTTACTTAATTCATTGTTTTCATATTTTTCTAAATGTTATTCAGGGAATTTACAATATTACAAATGCAAAAGTGAAACCACATTGTTTAAAATGGATTCCAAGTGACCTAGAAAACTATACTGCATTCTTATCCCACCCTTTATTCAACATTCTTTGCTTCCCCACAATTATAGGCTGTAACATTTTGCATTTGTAAGAGATTTTCATTTGTAGAATATTTTTATTTTTTTATTTTTTTTTTTAAATTCTACAATTTTTATTATAACTCATGTACTTCATAGAAACAGGAATGTAGCAGACGGGTCAGGTAGTACGAAAAATGTTTTAAAACTGCAGGTGTGTATTTACATCAGGCTCAGGCTCCCCCGCATCAGGCACAGCAACTGCACTTGTCCGATGCGCCTTTGCAGATGCAGCCCTGGGCACACTTGGCACAGCCCGCGGGACAGCGGGAGCAGCAGCTCTTCTTGCAGGAGGTGCATTTGCACTCCTTGCATTTGCAGGAGCCGGCGCACGTGCAGGAGCCACCGGTGGAGCAAGAGCAGTTGGGGTCCATTTCGAGTCGCGTCGAGGACGGAGGTCCAAAGCAGGCGACACGGAGAGACATGGCTGCGGGCTGGAGGCGTGGTCTGTAGAATATTTTTATATCCATTAATGCATTTCGTTCCTTGACAATTCTATTTTAGGCACTTCGGCATGTGGTTTAGACCCCATCCATTCCTGCCACCTCTCTGATGTTGAGCCTTCCATGTTCTCTTTGCTACTTCTTTAATTTTTCTTTCCTGGAGAAGAGGTTCCTTTTTCCTTGTAATATACTGTTGGTAGGCTCAGCTCTTTGAAATAAAGTTTTATATGCTCTGCTTGTCAGGAACATCCAATGGCTTTTTCTCCCCCTCCAGAGCATGGAAATTAGTTGGAAAATGAACTAAGATGAACTAAGTGCCTTCATCCTTTCTCTTATCAAATCAAACTGGTTTACTCCTTGGATTTCAGAACAAATCTTGCTTATTACATATCTTGCCTTTGCTGATTCCATGTCTAAGTGAAAAGAGACTGTATTTCATATTTTGACTATACAGACTGTGTAGTTTGGGCTCAGTTACTACACTTTCTACCTATATAATGCAGCTTATATGGCTGCCAAGTATGACTGCTCAGACTACGCACTGCACAACTGCAGGAACCCTGTTCACATAGGTTACAATATGTGGAATGTGTGTATGTCTTCCTTTGCAGGATTGTTATGAGAATTATATGATCTCATAGAGAGCGTAGTTTAACAGTGATAAAGAGAGCCCAAGTTCCTGGTTATGAGAATTATATGATCTCATAGAGAGCGTAGTTTAACAGTGATAAAGAGAGCCCAAGTTCCTGGAATTATAACGCAGCCCTTCCACTTCTTAGCTGTATGATCTTGAGCAAATCACTTAAATTTTACCAAGCTTCACTTTCCTTATCTTTACAATAGAAACAACAGTGTTGGCCTCCTAGGGATATTCTGAAGATCAAACGTGTCAATATTTATAAAGCACTTAGAATAGTTCCCAGCATATACTGAACACCCAGCATATGTTAACAATTTTTCTTTTTGTCTAAAAGTTATTTACGATGATGTTGATGTTCTTTGGTAGTTTTCAATCATCATGCAAGGCTTATTCTTCACACTTGTGGCCTTTCTCCATTAGGCCTCTCCTAACCTCCTTTATCCTTACTTTTCTTTCTTTAGAATTTCATACAGAAGGAATTATATTAGGTATGTGATTTAGCTTGGAACTCATGCTACTTTATAGTGTGCATATTTCTCTTTCCAGTCTAAGCGGAAGATACCTGAGGACCAAGACCCTGACCTGTACCTTTCAGGTGTTCTCAGTTTTTCTGCCTTGCCTGTGACTGGTGTCAGTGAAGATCTTCCACTGTCTGTCCTCTTCTGGGAAGTTAGTTGCTCTCCTCAGAGCTTGAGGCTTGAGAACCAGACAGCAGAATTGGTGTACTCATGGTCTCGTCTTTGATTATAGAAGATTAACATACACAACAGTAAACGGTTGAAAATGTAATTAAATTCTAGGATGGAAGGTCAGACTAACAGAAGGCAGCAGGAGTTGAGAAGAGAGCCATGTCTGTAAGAGCTAGGTTAGGGAGAAGAGGCCTTCCATGGGGTGCAGCGTCAGCAGAGTTGTCTGGGAGTACATAAAACTGGACTGGGCCCCCAGATAATGCTTGTAATATTAATACTTATGTTAATACTAAGAACTAATACTAACATTAATCCCAAGAGCAAGCACTAACACAGCCCGCTTGCTGGGCATTGCTCTTACCGCTTTACGTGTGTTAACACATTTAATTCTTACAGTAAGTCTGTAAGGCAGGAGATACTATTATCCCCATGTTAAAAGTAAGGAATTTGATGTTGCCAATAGATTTTGTTTAATTGTGATCATGATTACAACTTTTTTACATTATTTCACAATAAATGAAAGCCTTTACATTCCTTGAGATCCAATATTTTGCAATTACGTTCTGTCATATTTTCTTTAATCTTGCCTTATAATCTTTCTTTTTAAATAAAAGTCACTTTTATGTAGCCCCTCCCCATAAAGACATAATTATCAACAACAACACAAACAGATAAAAGGCTTTTATGTTTTGGAATGTGGGGTGGCTTATTTTATAGTTTTATAGCTACTTCTGTAATTTAGTTTGGGACATCAGATTTTAATGGTTTCTTATTTGTCTGATTAAAAACAACTGGTGAAGATCATCATCTCCAGTGAGAAAAAGAGCAGAGTATTGAGTTTGCAAAATATTTATGGAGGTAGAGTTCTGGATTTAATTTCTAGCTACTTGGATGCCAGTAACAGACTAGAATTTGTGTTTTAGCAACTTTGATAGACTTACTGTGGTCTTGTCAAACTTTATAACATAAATAGTAGATCATTGGCAAATCTCATCAGTTGTTTTTTGGCAACCCTTTGATGGAAATAGACTTTAATTTGTGTGCGTGTGTGTGTTGTTTAAAGGAAAAAAATTGTTTAAAAGGAAAAAAATTAATCTATCATTTTTTTCACTCATCAAAGGGACTCTCTTTCAATTTGATTTGTTTGTACCTACTTCTTTTTCTAAGGGATATAGGCCGTATTCCTTGTGACATCACAGAAAATCATTTGGTGTCTAATAGAAATAGAAATTATTTAAGAGGTAGCTAAAGATGAACAGACTTGATTGTGACAAAAAGTCTTACAAATTGTGGATTACTGTGTTGATGCACACAGCATTACATGATTACTCTTGGTTTATTCATTTGCCAAAATAACAGATAAACAATCAGTAGGGCAAGTGTTGTTGAGTCTTCTAATTGGGGTCATATTTCATGTGGGTATTTACCTATCTTTCTTTCTTCTCGTTCGCAGATCTTGCTGTGGATTAGTGTTAACAATCCTGTGTTTGAGCATGGCTGTGAAACTCGATGCCTCACCTAGGAGGCCTGCCTTCCATGGCGGTATATGAGGTGTGATTATAAAGTGTGAGACTGGTTTCCACTTTATGGACACACTGTGCACATGGAGTCTGCCTCCATTGGGTGTTTTTTTTTTTTTTTTCCTTTCCCTTTTGCAGTGTGTGTGTGGGAGAATTCATTTAGGAATTCTTCTGGCTCTTCTTTTTTGTCTTTTTTCTTACAAGACTGTAGGATGTTTGAAATGAGCTCTAGTACCTGCCCTGCTAAGCTTGCTATTTCATTTGCTCTCCCCACCCCCCATTGTCTGCACTGAAACTTGATATGAGAAATGTTTCTCTTTGGCCTACTTTTCCTATATTTTTAGCTCATCCCAGAGATGCTTCATGATGATGATCTTGTGATCATTTTTTACTTAAGTCTAGGAGATACGATATAACTTCAATTGGTGAATTAATGTCATCAACTCTAAGATAAAAGATGTGTTCTAATTTCAGAGATACAAGTGTGAAAACATACCTGTAGTGATGTTAAAGTGTTACTATTGTAAGATGCGTTTTTTTCAAGTATGTTAAAATGTAAAGAAAAAAAAGGCAGGTTTTTGCTTCATTGAATATTGGGTCCTGGCTACTGTGGGTTATCACTCACATTTAATATGAAGTAAGAAGTATATCATGGATGGAGCCAAGATAAACATGTGTGCCAGAATCCATTCTTTGAGCATTTCTGAAAACGACCCTTTTAAATACGCCATTATTAATTATGGAACCTGACTACTACATGTGTTCTTAAAATATGTATGAAAGTAAAGGAAAAAGACAAGAAAAAAAAAGAAGCTTTGACTTCTCAGTCCATCAGTTCATTATCCATCAGCATTCTACTGAAAAAGTAGTAGGGTAGTAATAATGTTATCTTTGGATCATTCACACATGGTCAGTAAAACATGGTGTTTAATATCACGAGCCTTAGAGGAAAGTAGGCCTGGGCTCAAGTTTGTGCTAGGTTCTACTTTGAGACTTTGAGCAAATTACTTCATTTTTTAAAGCTGTGCTGATGATTAAATTATTAATATAAGGAAGATACTTTGCACCCTGTCTGGGCATATGGCAGATACATTAGTTTGCTAGGGCCGCTGTAACAACATAACACGGTATGGCTTAAAAACAGGAATTGATTTTCTCACCGTTTTAGAGCCCCAAATCCAAGATCAAGGTGCTGGCTGGGAGGTGTTTATGTGAGGCCTCACAGACGGCCACCCTCTGCTCCTTCTTCACGTGGTCATCCCTTTGTGGGCAGGCATGCTTGAAGTCTCTGTCTGTGTGCTAACCTCTCCGTGTAAGAACAGTAGTCATTGGATTAGGGACCACCCTGAGAGCCTTCTTTGAACTTGGTTACCTCATTGAAGGCCCTGTCTCCAAATGTAGTTACATTCTGAGGTACTTAGGGCTTTGACCTATTCGTTTGTGGGGGAATGCAATTCATACCGTAACAGCAGGTCCACATATTAATTGTTACTCAGAAATGTTTATTGCTTACGTAAGGATTCTCAGGTGGTGTCTGGTGTCCAACTGAGCAGTATTAGTGTAGTGAAGTAAGAGGACTTGGCTCAGGTTCTCATGGTTAGGATAGGTCACATGAGAACATTAGAGTTTTAACTAGACGGTGAGGATGGTAGTATGATTTTCAGCAAAGGGTCAGATGTTATAAATAACGTTTCAAATATTGAGTTTGGAATGAGCATGGTATGGTTGGAAAAATGTGAGAAAGCTGATTTGGCAGGAAAAGAGCTTCACATTTGGAAGTCATGAGAGGTTAAGTGCTGATAAGATAAGGAGAGAGAGCAGATTTTAGAGTTGCTTGAAAACCAGACTGTGATTTTTTTTTTTTAACTCATACTAAATATTATTGAACTGGAGGTGACATGAAAAAAACCTAGGATGGTCATAAACATTTTTTTTACTGTGCAAACTTCTGTATATTTTTAATGTGAAAAGTAAGCATATATTCACATATTCACATGTACTTAAAATAAATACCTTTACAAAGCATTTGAAATGATCTTGTTAGCAGTCCATGATAGTGGTTAGGCAGTTAGCCTTCTCATAAGGCATGGGGAGCATCCTGAAACAATGTGTTCAAGTGCTCCCCCACCCCCAGCCCCTGTGGGAACAT